TCCATCTGTTTTGGGCCATTCAAGAGTCAAACACCATCTTCTGGGAGGCCCTGGCGCCCACCAACCCTCACCATCACACTCTCTGCAAGAGTGCAGAGCCGATCCACTGGTACCAAATGCTTCTCCTGCCCCTTCTCCAAGCAGCACACCCTGATTTCAGCATCTGTGAAAGTCAAACAAGCTTTGATGTTCAAAACAGGGTTTCTGGGGGTGATTCCAGCTGAGCCTGCCTCCAGCCCAGAGGCAAAGGTCTCTCACTGCATCAAGCTAATCTATAGCTACACTGGACACCCATTGATCATTGCACATCATCCCACACCTGCCCCCAGGCTGGCAGCGCTCTGTGACTTTCACAACTGGTCTGGAGCACACCCCAGGCCACAGCTTGAGTCACCAGGCAGCATTTTTCCACTTGGCAAAGAGCTGCTAGGCTCTCATCCTCCCACAGTCTAGAGAAGCTTGGTTCTGGCAAGATCTTGTCAAATTGCTTAGCCTCTCTGGAGCCTCAGTGAGCCTATCTGGAAAATGGGTTTAAGGAAAAATGACACTGTCTTAGGATGGTGAGGGGCTGGGATTAACTCAGAGGTAGCGATGGCATTTGCTCAGCAGAGGGTCCTCTCCTCCTCCCCCGAGTTCCATCCCCAGTCCAATAGAGACAGAGAAATGAGACATGTTTGAAAATGTCTGTCACGGGCATATATTAGAAGTTCAGCGAACAGCTACTTTTTCTTCCTTCGTGTCTCCCTTCCCTTTTCCCTGCCTCTCTTCCCTTCATTCCACCCTTCTTTCTAGACTCCACCTGACAGAGATGGAAGTTTGCTTTAGCACACTGAAGAAGTGATCACTGAGACCATCACCTGACAGAGATAGGGGGGTGGCCTGGGGGTGCCAGTCTCTCTCATTTTTCCCTCCTTACTGATTTTATTTGGCTTTTTGTGTGACCCTCCAACAGATCATCCAGAACATCGCTGGACCCCATAGTTGGTCGAATTGGTCCACTGGTCCCCAGGGGCCTGAGGAAGTCTTCAGATGGCTGACTTGGCCCTGCCTGGTTGGACATCCAGGGTACATCACTCAACAAATGCACATGCTAAAGAAAGACTGAGGCCTGGCAGGGCTGAACCACATAGTGATGCTATGAAGACTTCAGGAAAACCACAAGAAGCCCAGGAGGTGGGCGAGGTAGGAGCACAAGACGTCTCACCCTCGCTGGCATTTAAGGGCAATTATGCCCTATTAATGGCTGACGGTGAAGCTCTGCCCCGAGAGTCTGAGCTGAGTCCGGGAAGCCCACAGATGTTCTTGGCCCACAAATATACAGTTGGCATCTCCTGAACTTTGGGTGACTCGAAGCCAGCTGATCTGATGGGCAATTATGGTTTATTTTAGGTCCAGGAAGACAACAGAGAACCGGGAAAATTATAAGACATCTGAGTGCAGTTTTGCTAAGAATATCAACTACAAAGTCAGAGGGTTTTTTTTTTTTGTCTTTAAAATCCAATTGTTGTTTAAATGGTGGGAGGTTCGTTGGGCACTAAAATAAGACAACCCTAGACACTAGAATCAGAGTATAGCCCGTTTTCCTGAGGAAGGGATAATTCCTGCCACCACTGTTGTTAATGACAGCAAGATCATCGTGGGTTTGTAGCTTTGATGAAGCTCAAGCCTCTTCCTTAGTAGCTCTCCGTGGCTTGGATATAACATTATCAGCCTCGGTCTCCCGCCTCATCCACACACCATTGCTCTGGGCTTACAGCTTGGCTGGTAGGAAAACATGAGACACGGAAGCCCAGCCCAATCAGCTGCAAAGTCTGTAAATTATCTGGTGGACACAAGTCTCACTCCCACTCTACCTATCTCCCTCCTCCCTTCTCAACTCCCCCGCCCACCCCAGGCCTGGACAGCTTCTCCAAAGAGTACCACTTAAGGAGTTTGCGTGGGAATGGAACATAATCGCCGCTTGTAAAGGAAGCCAGCCCCTGGTGGGGGCGGGGGAGGGGAGAATATCCTGAGACAACATCCCGAGGAAATGGGGCAAGATTCCTGCACAGACACAATTTCCCTGGGCTAGACACCATGCTCAAGATGTCCTTGAACAAGGGTAGTCACTCAGTGACTCACCCACCCACGCCTGCAGTGACTCGCAGTGCTGCCTCTCCAGCCCCACCTGCCCTCCCCAAGTTCTAGGCCAGTGTGAAATGAGCCTTTCACCCAAACAACACTCAAGCCACCACAAGGGGGAAAGCGATCTCTACCCAGGAGGGGTCTCCCTCTCCTCTGACTGGATTACAAAGATACCCAGCAGGGTCTACCTAGCCCTACCACTTCTGCACACTGCCCAGGGGCAGATAACAATGTAAGCCACACAGAAGGCTGACCACAGGCCCTGAGCACTCTTTCATGCCTATGTTCATGCTTGGAGCCCAGTGGCATTCAGTAAGCACTTGTCATAGCAAACAGGCCAACCAGGAGGGCACAAACTCTGCACATGTCACCATGTGTTCGTGCAGGGTGGGTATTATTTGTACTACGTGATAAATGGAGGGACAAGAAGCTCAGAGGGTTTGTGCAGCCAGCTCATAGGCACATAGCTGGGAAATGACGCGGGGCTTCTACTCCAGGTCTGACCTTCTAATATCACAGCCACCCTCCTGGTTATAAAAATGACAAATTACCCTCACGTAGCCCTTGACACATCAGAATTATTTTATCCTCCCAACATTCCAGAGAGATTCTCTGTTGGGGGGAAAAAAAGTCTTTTTTACTCATCATGTTTTCCAGGCTGTATAGCTAGACAGACGTGAAGAAAGAACTCGAACCTAGACTTTCACCTTTCAAATAGTCACAAGCTTGTTGAGAGGAGGGAACCTTGCACTGACCAAGCTTTGTATGAGGTGTTGGGGATACAATGGTAACCAGGACAGTCTCTGGACTTTCAGGCAGAAGAGGAAGCTGTGTCAGCAATAGCCAGGACATCCTAAATTGCCTGTAACATAGGATATCAGCAATGAGGGAGTGGTTTACATCCGAATGGTCTTTATGTGCTTTGCCCTGCCTGCCAAAGACCCTATGTATAATCAAAGGCCGGGGCTGCCTCGGTCAGCACAGCATTACTCCAATAGCCAAGTGAAGGAATCAGCTTAGGCACCATCAAAGGATGGATAGATATAGACACAGCAGAGTTTTACTAAGCCACTAAGAATAAAACTACATCGTCTGCTGGGAAACAGATGAAACTGGAGATCTTCATGTTAAGTGAAATAAGCCAGGCTCACAGAGACAAGTACCACATGTCTTCTCTCACTTGTAGAAGCTAGGAGGAAATAAAACTATAAAACAAAACAACCGAAGTCATGAAAGTAAAAGAGAGACTGCCAGAGATTATAATCAAGGGGTGAATATGATCCACTGTGTTATAAGCATATATTGAAATGTCAAGATAAAAAATACCTCTCTATATACAAACTAATAAACACCAAATTTTACAAAAAAAGTATTACCAGAAAAAAAGGAAATGGCTGTCTCCTGGAGATGAGGATACAGAAGACCAGGAGACACCCCCATACAAGTTAGGGTACTTGGGCACCAAATTCCCTGCTGAGCGAGCCCAGAACCCAGCAGAAGAAGCCTGTAGCAGTATTAATTGCCATACCTAGAGCTCCAAGACAGAGCAGTGACAGGAGAGTCCCTCTACCACTCACAACTCAGAAGGGAGTGCAGGTGAGATGTAGGAATAAGAAGGTTCTTTTGCAAAAGCTTTAAGAATTCAGCACCAGTGAAGCCCAAACTCACCTACCAGACACCATGGGCCCCAGAAGTATAAAATTAAGAATTCAGTCCAAACTGATGTCCAGAGACTCTGGCCTTTAGGCTGCTCCAGCAGTTTCTTACTATCCCACACCCCTTCTCAGAAGCTACTGAAGGTCAGTTGATTTCGCTGATGTTGCCACTGAGCAAGCCTTAGCATAAGGTACTAATTATGGCCCCTGCAAATGGACCAGCCCTGGAGCCTTCCCATCAAGACCCATAGGCCACCGAGGCCTTTGCCATGGTGACCAGACCTCCAAACTTTGCTTCTTAATCTCCATGCGGAACACATTCTCTACATTGGAGCCGCTCTTGCTGCAAGAGGACCTCTTTACATCATCAACAACACAGATGTCACATTTGCCACCTCCCTAAGCCAACAAGTCAGGGTGACTGTGACAATCAGTTGGCAAAAGTCACCCAACACAAGGGGATCTTGCCAAACTGGTGAAGAAAAGTACACTTCTCAGGTGTCAGTGACTTGACGAATCCTACGTGCAACTGGTGAATGCCAGATTTACCCATCTGCAGGCCTTCTTTGGAGGTGCAGGAGGAGGTTCTTCATAGCTTGGCTGAGGCCTCAAGTCAAGAGCTCCATTTCTGGGGCCTGCAATGTCTATGTCTCCAAGGTTTGAACCCTGGGTAGGTACAAAAGTACAGTCCGGCACTAACCCCTCTATAACTCTAATTCTAAAATTCTCTGCTAGAGTTTCAGAATGTTCTACAGGTTGACTGCCCCTTTATCCAAAAGAAACAGAAATGTTTCAGATAGTAAACTTTTAATTATTTTAGAAAATTTGCATATGAATAATGAGGAATTCACTTGTGCTTCATATGCACATTCTGAAGGTCATTTTCTAGAATGTTTTCACTGCATCAGCATTGCGGCTATGACCGATCAGTGATGTCAGGGTGTGTTAGTTTCTATTTGAGGGGCCATTTTGATTCTCAAAAAAGTTTGGGCTTAGAAGGATTTTGGGTTGGGAGTTTTCCAATTAGGAATGCTCAACCCATCTAACAGAAAGGGGAGTCAACAAGTAACCACTGACAGTAAAATGCCAAGAAAGAGAAGAGATTTTAACCCCCCTCCCCAACAAATGCACCTTTGGAGTTTTTCAGCATAGCTCCCTCACCCTCAAACTGACATGTGCCAACAGAGAGAGCCGCACAAGCACAGGCGTCTGGGGTCTTACCTGGATGGGGTTGTAGAGTTCCTGCAGAGGACTTCGTGACCCCTTTCTGCAGCAGACGTCCACACCGAATGGATTCCTCCTCATAACTAAGGGAAGAAAGTAAAACTGATCAGAAATGAGCGAAACACAAGTGTCTTGTCTGACAAAGAAAAGGGCATCCAAGGAGCAAAGAAGCAATAGGGAGGAAGAAGAAAGACTTTAGCTTTGCTTCGAGCAAGGCAGATCCTCAGGGCTATTTTTTGATCCAACGGCAGGCAGTGATTCACCCCAAGGTTCTAAACTGTGCTAAAGAACGCTCCCCAGCAAGTCTGCAAGGAAACACAACCGCATTTACAGTTCTCTGAAATGAAAGACATTGTCAAGATCACTCCAAGAGAGCAAGTTCAACCACACACTGGGCTGGCTAATGGACAGTCTTCATTGCTTAGCAACGGGGACAAGGTCTGAGAACATCATTAGGTGATGGTGTCTGTGTGAACTTGACAGAGAGTATTACGCAAATCTGGGTAGTACAACTCTAGCCTATTGGTGTAGTCAAGAGATAAGTAAACACTAGATACAGGAGGTAGCTGCTGGTATAAGATGAAAAGACTTTCACAGTTAACATTTTTTTAATAAATAGAAAGAGTATATTGTCAAATAATGATAAGCATGAAGTAAATACACAGTAAATACATGTAGTCATTTACCATCATTATCAAGTTCCCTATCTGTGCATAATTGCACATGTGATGCTTTTATTCAATTGGCAGCACAGTGGGTATGTTTACGCCAGCATCACAACACACACACACACACACACACACACACACACATGAGCACTATCATTGTGCTATGACATCTCAGTGAATGTGACGCACATCACGAGGCGATAGGACTTTTTTGGCTCTATTATATAACCTTGCCTGGTCAGATGTTGACTGGATCACCATAATGCAGAGTATGGCTGAGTTTGTGTGTGTGTGTGTGTGTGTGTGTGTGTATACGCGTGCGCGCGCACGCACCAGTATTGGGACTTGTGCTAAAGCCAGAAGCTCTGAAGTTAGTCTGAAGTCAGTAACAATGAGCAGTCATTCACAACAGCAGATGTGATGCCTATAGACATCCAGGTGAACCGACTCCTGCTAGACAAGTCCCCCTTGGCTTATCTCTTGAATCCCCATGGTGGCTCCTTGAAAGGAAACATAGTCTGATCCAGGAGACAGGAGGCCCCATTTCCTTTCTCCTTCTCCTCCACTTCCAAGGGTGGGGCTGGCACACTTCTGGAAAGAGCCAGATGGTACTTGGTCTTGGCCATGGTGGGGTCAAACAGCTACCACCAACACAGCAGAGCGTGACAATGGAGCACCCATAAAACTTCATGTCCAGGCAGTGCACACTAGATCTTTGTGTGTCAAGAACTCTTTTTCTTCCTCTTTGGATTTTTTGTTTTTCCAATTGCTTAACAAAAATGGACAGTGGACTGGATTTGACCCCACTAGTAAGTATTTGCCATCCACTGCCCTGGAGAAGCGAGATCACAGCCCCTAAAACCCAATCACAGCCTGTGAATCCGGCAGCCTGGCGGGGGGGGGGAAGGGATTGAGGACAATCCATAGAAGCCACTAAACTTTGATTAGGTTATCCAGAAAAACACTGACTTTTTGTTCTTGAGGAAGGGGGAAAAAATCTACCTTGTGTTTTTCTTTCATTTATTACTTCATTTTTCATTTCCACCAAAAAGGAGGCAAATGGTCACACGCATGAACGTTGCCCTTGGTGTACAATGACACAGCAACACTTTGGGAGAGAAAAAAAAAGCAGCCATAAAATGTGTAAAATTATGCCCACGCCATTCCAGATTAATCTCTCCCCAGGGCAGCACACAGACTCATCGAGACCAGGGCTGTGGGACCGCCAGAGAGGACCCCGCTGCGGATCTATTATAAGTCTGCTTTTATGGCGGGCAGTATTATTTAATTGGTTTATTTTTCTAACACGAGGCCTTTAAGATGCTCTGACTGTGTGAGGCCTGTAGCCTGGACCCTTTGCCTCCAGCCCTGCCTGTGATTTCATGGGGTTAGGTGCAAAATAACTTCAGCACCCCAGGCTACAAAAGTAGCAGGGCCTTGTGTGCTTTTTATGAGAATGAGAGCCATCCTGCTGTGTGTGGAGGGCTTCTGTGTGTGGCAATTCGGGGGGGGGGGTGGTCCAGCCTTCCCACAGCAGAGGACCCACAGTTAACAGATCACTGTTCCAAGCCCTGCCCCCCGCCCCCCAACGAGAGTCAATGTATGATCAAGGAGAGTAGGTAGAAGCAGGCAATCAAGACTCAAATATGGCTGATGCTGCCAAGGGTCCCCTCCCCATTCTTTTTAGTTCAGCCAGCCGGGGATTCAGCCCCTGGATCATAAGCCAGCCCTGCCCACCAGGGTTTGACAATCAGGTTAGGACACTCACGAACAGGTCCACCAACTTGATGGGGAAGAGGAGCAAGAGTAAAGCGATTCTAGGAAGAGATATCCACCCCCACTACACACACACACACACACACACACACAATAAATAAATAAATAACCAAATCCTTGCAGCTTTTCGATGGGTTCTACTCACTTGCTGCATTGGTGAGCTTGTTTAAATGACAGTTTTGAGGCTCCATGCCTGCAGCTGGCATTTTGTTAGATCATCAGGAAGGGCCCCCAAACTGCTTTTGGGTAAGATGAGCCCCCCCACATCACATTCACCACCACCACCACACAAGAGGCAGAGAGACAAGTCATATTCCAGAGTAAATAACTTTTCCTCAGCCTGCCTCCACTTAACCCTAAAGACACCATGGCATTTGAAATGAGAGCCAGGGAATGCCTCCTTATTCTGGTGTTGGGTGAGGGAACAGATATAGATGCCCCCTCAAAAGCCAAACGCAAGTGTACCACCACAGGGCATAAGGTCTTATGGTCACATTTGACTCTTGAGCTAATCACATCCAAATGGTAAGAATAAGGGCCACTGTGCCACCTGGGAGACTTGGGAAGGGTTGGCAATAGTAGTTGCCCCTTGGTGGATACAGGGGAGAGGTCCTGGGACCCTTGGGGGGGCACATAGTCCACGGCCCCTTGTATAAATGGCAGCACACCATCACTGTTTCACTGGTTCCTGATTTATCATTCCTAATGCCACGTAAAGTTCTGTAAATCATTATTCCATTGGATTTTTTAGGGACTGGTGGTGACTGGCAAGAACAAACATCTGCACATGTCTGGGTGCTGTCTCTTAGCTTTTTCTGCTCAACGATGGTACACTACCACTTGAGCCACACCTCTGTTTCCAGCTTTTGGATAGCTAAGGGATAAGAGTCTCAGGAACTTTCTTCTCCTGGCTGGCTTTGAACCTTCATCCTCAGATGTTAGCCTCCTGAGGAGCTAGGATGACAAGCCTGAGCCATCAGTGCCTGGCTATTGATGTGCTTTTTTTGTTTTTAATAGTCTCAGACTGCAATCAGTTGAATGTAAGGCAGTGGTGCACACCGGCACCTTGGCTTACATCAACATTTAAGTGCCACATGTCTCCACAGCTTCTTCCTGGCTTGAGATCTGGTTGGTTGGACACAGCTAAGACAGGTGATTCAATAACAAATATACCTCCAAACCCAGGGGCACAGGACTCAACAAGGTACAGTGGGAAAAGAGTCAATTAATAACTATTATAACCATTCATCCATTCATTCAAGGGATTTTCAAGTGCCTTCGGTGTGCATTCATCCATTTATCCATTCAAGGAATTTTCCAGTGCCTCCGGTGTGCTGGTGCCTTGCCAGGTACTGGGCACATAGATTCTGTCTCCTCAGGTTATTTTCACTTGTCAGAAAGGTTTATGAATAACCTGGAATTTCATACTGCCTGTGAGACCATCAGCATGCAGGTTGTTTCTGGCTATGTATGCCTGTGGCATTGTGGTGATTTTTTTTTTTTGCCTTTGAAAATGAAATGTCTGATGATCAAAAGCCCTAAGAAATCAGTCCCCAAGGACATCCAGCCGTGACCATCTGCCATCTACTACCATGAGTTTTATTTAGTTACAAATCCTGCTTTCCTCCTTTCCATGCTCACTGGAATTAAGCACAGCCCTTAAGAATCTAATTGGGCCCCTTCACAGCATGATTCATCAGACCCAGGAAGAGCCCTGTACCAGCCAAGAAACATCCAATGAAACCCAAATGAAAGCCCATCCTCGTGTGCTGGTTTCTCTGGGAGGGAGGCAATGTTGTTTTGTGGATCCCAGTCTGTTCCCTGAGAAGAAGAGGTGGGCAGTGAGCTCAGAGCCAGGGAATTGGCCCAGCTCATTCTCTAACTCTACCACAACCACTGGCACAGTTAATTCAGATCTGAAGACCTCCCCTGGCGGCAGCCGAGGTGTTGTGGGGGTGGGGCAGGGGGAGAACCTGCCTTCCACAAATTTCACAAAACCAGAGAGAGATGCAAAATATCTCCAGCCCCTCAACTGACAGAAGCACCTCAAAAGGCTCACCCATGTGCCTGGCACTCCAGCATCATTAACACAGCCAGGGCCAGGAGTCAGGTCTTATCAAAACATTAAAAGTACACAATAAGCATGAGAAAAAACAAGTCCTGAGAATCTACCCCTTGGTGCCTGATGCTTGACCTAATACTAGCCCAATTTTCACTCCAGTTCTGTTCATCTCCATAAAACCCTTTAAGTGAGATGTAATATTTACTCACTTTTTTTTGGGGGGGGTGTCGGTCATGGGGCTTGAACTCTGGGTCTGGGCACTGTCCCTGAGCTCTTCAGCTCAAGGCTAACGCTTGAACCACTTGAACCACAGCGCCACTTCCAGTTTTCTGGTGGTTTATTGGTGTCAAGGAGTTTCCTGCCCGGGCTGGCTTTGAACCACGATCCTCAGATCTCTGCCTCCTGAGAAGCTAGGATTGCAGGTGTGAGCTACCAGCGCAAACTTTTACTCACATTTTACAACTGAGGAAACTGAAGCACAGTAACTTATCCAGTCTCACAGCCAACAAACGGAAGAGGAAATAGCAAATTCAAACCGTGTCTTCTACTACCTTGCCAACCTGCTCTAAAGTCAGGA